CCAGGGTAAAGGACAGCGTTGCCACCAGGAGGGGCGGCGTGGTGAGCCGATAGTACGGCGGGGCGGGGGGGGGGGGGATTCTAGCGCCGGTGCTGGTGCTGTTTAGGTCATGAGCGGTAGGGCAGGTTCTCGCGGTGGATTCGATTCCCTCTGCTGGGTGAGAGCCCACGGCAGACATGAACGCCTCCTAACTTCTCAGCCGGTTACTTGTCGTTCTTCTCTGCTCGTCCTCCGACGATGTGTGTATCTAGATTTACTGCTCAGGGGACAGCTTCGATCTGGGGGGCTCCCAAGTCACCGTTGAAGGAGGAAGGTTCACGGACAACCGAGCGTTGGAACTAGGTGGAGCGTTTGTGGCTTGGGGTACGCCTACAGTCTTGACCATCACGGGCGGCTTCTTCAGCAACAACACCGCAAAGTGAGTCGTGCGTCGATCAGACCATGTTCGTGTTGCTTGTTAAAAGTTTGCGTTTGGAGTTATGTGTGCCGTGTTTTCGCGCGGCAGGGTGACTGCGAGCAACACGGGCTTGTGTCCAGATCCCCCCACCCCCCGATCAGATGCACGCGTCATGTGTTCATAACGGAAGCAGGTGCTGCAAGCCGCCACTTTGCTGAAAGCGCTCGCTCTGTATGTGCAGCTATATATGAAGCGCGGACGGACCCACGTTTCCTCCCTCCCCCTTGCGCTGTACCTATGCAAAACGTGCTGTGTTCGACTCTGCGGAGCAACGGATTTCACGTCACCCCTCCCCCCCCCCGCCTGTAAAAGGTTCTACGGAGGCTTCATCTTTCTGGAGGAAGAGGCTAGCCTTTCTTGCGAAGGAGCCACGATCAGGGACCACTATGCCGGGGACCAGGGAGGAGGCATCTACGGCCGAGACGCCACTTGGGTGAACTCCAGCTGCGACTTGATCGGCAACGCAGCGCCGCAGGGGGCGGCGGTGTACCTGACCCACACCGTCATGGCCGCCAACTTTGATAACCACGAAGTCACCGACAACGTGGCGTCGGGGGGCAGCGTGCTCTACGCCACCGACACCGCCCTCTTCGCGACGGGGCTAAACTTCCAGTCCGGGGTGGGCCTGCAGGAGGACTCTTCGAACCGTGCGATACAGCTGGAGGGCGAGACGACCCTTGTCGCGGAGGGGTGCGTCTTCGGCGGCTGGATGGGCGACACCGTGATCCACAACGCCAACACGGCCGAGGGGTCCCTCGCGCTCGACAGCTGCGACTTCAGCGAGAGCGCGGCCATCATGGTGGCCGGCTCCCCTCACTCGGACGCCCTCATCCGCAACGCCTTCGTCGGCCACCACACCATCGACAACGCCGCCGTCGTGGACGGCTCGCCGGTGCTGGTCGACAACGCCTTCGGCTGCGACTCGGGCATCTGCGCGGCGGGGGAGTGCGTCGACAGCGTCCTCGGCGTGCTCTGCGAGTGCCTGGAGGATGGGGTCTGCCTCAACGACGGGGGCGCGCTCTCCATCAGCCTGCTCGTGGAGCCGCCGAACGTTACGTACAGCCCGGACCCCGTGTACTTTGAGCTCCTCGTGTCCGCGTCGGCGGACGGGGTCACGCCCACCATCTGGAACCTTTCGTACGAAGCGGATGGCCTCGAGCTGTCGCCGTTCCCCTCCAGCGGGGTCCTCTCGCCGGGGGGAAACGTGACCGTCATGGTCACCGGTAGCCCGTTGCAGCAGGACGTCGGCGGGGACCTTGTCAGCCGGTTCGCGGTGTCTTCCGTAGGCAGCGGCGGCGGCGGCACCGCGGAATCATCGTCATCGACGGGGGTGGAGTTGGAGGTGGAGTCGGCGTTCTACCTGTGCCAGGCGTTCGAGTACGCCGTGCCGGTGGACGGGGACGACGACACGGCCGTCTCCTGCGAGCAGTGCGTCGCCATCGACGGCGCGGAGGGGGTGGACTGCGAGCTCCCCGGGGCGACGCTGGCCTCGCTCCCCGTTCGGGAGGGCTACTGGCGGTCCGGAAAAGAGTCGTCGACGGTCCTCGCGTGTATCCACGCCGAGTCTTGCGCCGGGGCCACCCAGGTGTCGACCGCGGAGGACTACTGCTCCAGTGGGTACGAGGGGCCATGTGAGTGCAAGCAAGGGTAACGGCATGGCCAGAGCGGTGCGCCGCGCGGGGGGGGGCTCCGATGTGTATTGTAGGTATCATTGGGTCGTGGGGCTTTGGCAACCGGATTCAAACGATGCCGTCAGCGCTGAGTGGTGTGATTTCGATTGCTACAAGGTCGCAGGCGAGGGTTGTATTTGTCTAGTCGACCGTTGCGCCACATCCCGGTGGTATGCCCCCGCATGGTGGAGTGATGGAGTGGTAGCCCGGGGTATGATACGATGGTTGCTCGGAAACAATCACCATCTGCGCCTCCATCCCATGGTCTGTTGGTTCCCATCACCGTGTGTTCGTCTTTGTACATACATGACGTAACGACTAGTTATTTTTTTGCACCCACCCCTCTCCGAACGATTGGCCGTCGTCGGTGAATGGGTCCTGTGTTCTATCCTCTCGAGGACGCGTGGTCAATGGCCTAACAACTACGGCATCAAAACAGGATGGTACCCCCCCCCCCCCCCCCCCCCCCCCC